TACTGAGCATGGGCTGACATACAATGTCAATAAAACAGAGTACATGGTCTTTGAGGCCGCTGGTAAATGTCACAATATTGCAGTTAATGTTACCCTTAATGGCATGAACGTGAAACGAGCCACTAAATTTAAATATCTGGGGCATATTATTACTGGTGACCTCAAGGATGATGCTGACATCGAAAGGGAGCGCAGGGCTCTGGCGGTTAGAGGTAATATGTTGGCTCGCAGGTTTTCCCGTTGTACAAAACAAGTTAAGATTACGCTTTTTAAAGCATACTGCCGGAGCGTGTACACGGGGAGCCTGTGGGTCAAATACACCAAAAGATCGCTTGAAGCCCTGCGCATCCAATATAATAATATATTCAGGATGCTGTTGGGACTGCCTCGTTTTTGCAGTGCATCGGGGATGTTTGCGGCATACCAAACAGACGGTTTTAATGCCATTATACGCAAAAAAACCGCATCCCTTATTAGCAGGATACGAGCCAGTCACAACAGCATTCTGAGGACCGTAGCGGACAGATATACTTCGCCGCTGTGGAAATGTCTTGTGCAGAGACTGATAACTGGGCCCTATCCACCCCCATGATGATCTGTCTCGGCAAAGTGTATTTATTTTATTTCCCTAGATTTTAAGCAAACCATTGTTTTTTTTTTCTTTTACTAACCCTCGTTATTATAATTGTTGTTATTATTATTGTGTTACTAACCCACATATGGATTTTAATTATCTGAAATAAAGAATTTATTATTATGAAGCCCACCCCCCCTATTTTTTACAAAAAAAAAAAAAATTTACCCTTAAAAAAAAAAAACCCCTAAAATATTATCACCACTCAGAGGACACACTAAGGATTCATACCATTTTGTCAGTGAGATAAAAGACCTACATCTTACTGACAATGAAACCATGATCAGTTTTGATGTTCAGTCTCTATTTACATGCCTACCTGTTGAAGACTGCATCTCAATTATAACTAGGAAACTAGAGGAAAATAATATGCCAGCAGAATATGCAGTATTACTCAGACATTGCCTTACATCTGGCTATCTATTGAGGAAGGAAGAGTTTTAAGCAAGTAGATGGTGTTGCGATGGGCTCACCTGTATCTCCCATTGTCGCCGATATATTTATGGAAGACTTTGAGGAGAAAGCCCTCCTTACTGCACCTGTTACATCAAGGATCTACAAGCGGTACGTAGACGATACTTTCACAATTTTACCATCAGACAAAGTAACTGCATTTTTAGAACATCTTAATTCCATAAACTCTAAAATTCAATTTACTATGGAGTTAGAGGCAAATAATTCCTTACCTTTCCTAGATGTGTTAGTCATCCGAAATCCTAACAACGCCATTGGTCACACTGTGTATAGGAAAAAGACTCATACAAACCGATATTTAAACGGTGAATCTCATCACCATCCTTCACAGTTAGCTACCGTGGGCAAATCTTTGTTACAGAGAGCACGAGGGATCTGTGACAGCAAACACCTGGCCGCCGAGCTCGTCACAGTGACCGAGTGAAGCCGGCCACAGTCGAGCGTGTGCCTGCTGTACTACCATATGTCAGAGGTGTCACAGACAAGATTGGCTACATCTTGAAGCGAGCTTCTAATAGAACATTCTACAAGCCGCCGAAGAAGATTAGTCAGTTCCTACCATCAGTCAAGTGTCATATTCCTCTACAAGATGCAGGAATGTACAAGCTTGATTGTGATGTGGTCTCTCTTATATAGGACAAACAAAAAGATCAATAGAACCCGCGTAAAAGAACATATAGCTGATGTGAAGCATCAACGTTCCGTGAAGTCTGCAGTTTGCTATCATATCCTAGACGGCCCCAAACATTACATCAGATTTGATAGACCACAAATCCTCGCGAAAGAACACCGATTCCTACCAAGGATGATACGTGAGGCTATTGAAATTAAAAAACATCCTAATTTCAATAGAGAAGGAGGCTGGTTACTACCACCTGCTTGGGATCCTATAATCAATAAAATTAAAACTAAATCCAAGCATACCACTGCAAGACCTCAGGACATAGTCAGTTCATTTTGCATAGATCGGACCATAAACAATAATTAAAAAAGCTGAAGTTACTCCGGGTTTAACAATGACATCGGGACGTCAGTCATCCCAGTCCCCCGTGACCATTGGTGCTACAAAGCGCCCGAAACGTCGGGAATTAAAAATAATAGTAAAATAAACGCGATAAAATCCGTAAAAGTAGTTTTAATCAATACAAATATACTACTAATATAACTGCAGCATGGATCGACCACATATAAACTTTTTCGTATAAACTGCTTACGTAATAACACCTAGAAAATAAAAACTGCAGTTGAAATAATACTAGTTTTTACGGAATTTATCGCGTATATTTAACTTTTTAATTACCCGACGTTTCGAGAGCTTTACAGCACCCATGGTCACGGGAAGGACTGAGATGTTCAACATCCAGTAGCTAACTGTGAAGGATGGTGGTGAGAATCACCGTTTAAATATCTATCTGTATGGGTCTTTTTTCTATACACAGTATGGCTCAAGGTGTTATCAGGATTCCGAATTACTGACACATCTAGAGAAGCTAAGGAATTGTTTGCCTCTAACTCCATTGTGAACTGAATTTTAGAATTTATAGAGTTAAGATGGTCTAAAAATGCAGTTACTTTATCTAAAGGTAGAATTGTGAAAGTGTCGTCTACGTACTGCTTGTAGAACCTTGGATTTATGGGAGAAGTAAGCAGGGCTTTCTCCTCAAAGTCTTCCATGAATATGTCGGCGACAATGGGAGATACAGGTGAGCCCATCGCCACACCATCTACTTGCTTGTAGAACTCCTCCTTCCACAATAGGTAGCCAGATGTAAGGCAGTGTCTGAGTAATACGGCATATTCTACGGGCATGTTGTTTTCTTCCAGCCTTCTAGTTACAATTGAGATGCAGTCTTCAACAAGTAAGCATGTAAACAATGACTGCACATCAAAACTGACCATAGTTTCATTGTCTGCCAGACGTAGGTCTTTAATCTCGCTGACAAAATGGTAGGAATCCTTTATGTGTGCTCTTGTATGTCCCCTGAGCGGTGAGAGTATTTTCGCTAAGTGTTGAGCCAATCTGTAAGTTGGTGAATCGATTTGGCTCACTATGAGGCGTAATGGAGCATTGGGCTTGTGTATTTTTTTGTGTATTTTTGGTAACCCATACAACTTTGGTGATTTGGCGCACGTAGGCCGTTTTACGTCCAGATTTAATTTTTCGGAGTGTTTCTTTATGAGGTCACTAGTTGTTTTTAGTGTGCTATTTGTTGGGTCGTTTTTAACCTTTTTTATAAGTACTTACATCCGACAAAAATTCTTGTATTTTAGAGTTATAATCTGACGTATCCATGAGTACCGTGGCGTTTCCCTTATCTGCGCGGAGAATCGTAAGTTCTGGTTTATTGCGTAGGTTCTTTAACGCTATAAATTCGTCTCTGGGAAGATTCGGTTTAGGCACTGAACATCGACGTAACATAGACGAAATGTCTTGACGTATCGCCTCCAAATCTTCTTTCCGCATATTGTTTTTAAATAAACAGTCCTCGACACTACAGATAATTTCTTCGTACGGTAATCTGCGTGGAGTTATAGCGTAATTTAGTCCTTTGGATAAAACCTTTATTGTTGCATCATCCAGTGTTTGTTTTGACAGATTATAGAACGCGATTAATCTATGATCTGTGTTTGTCAATGGTTGCTTTTGGTTCTGGCATTGATTCGGATGTTTGACATTTGATTTGGCCGTTAATTTTTGATATTTTTCTATATGTTTGTTTTTGCATTCGTTATATTTACTAATTTCGCGTTTATTTAATGTTTCCATGCAAAAATTATAATCGAACGTCGTTAAAACTTTCTTTAATTCACTGGATGATGTGTCTATGGATTTATTGATGTCATATAGATCGGAGCGTTTTTGTTGGATTACCGCCCGTAACAACTTTTTTACTCGCCTGATTTAAGATCTTAGCGCTTCCTCGAATGTCCTTTTTGGTGGATATTTATTTTGACACACGTAGGAATGAGATTATGGTCTCGGCATCTCTTCAAGAAATTTAAGGCTGTTAGATATCTTGCGCGCTTAGTCTTTAGATCTTCTAATCGGCGTATTTTATTTGCAATTACCAGTCCGTACTGGTTTACATAATGATTTCTTATATTTACGCGAACACTACACATTGAAATAATACTCAAAGATCTAAAGACTAAGCGCGCAAGATATCTAACAGCCTTAAATTTCTTGAAGAGATGCCGAGACCATAATCTCATTCCTTTTCCTCCATTCCTCATTAAAACCCGCGACAAAGAACATATAGCTGATGTGAAGAATCGACGCTCCGGGAAGTCTGCAGTCTGTGAACATGTACAGGATCGCCCCCGTCACTACATCAGATTTGATAGACCACAAATCCTCGCTAAAGAACACCGATTCCTTCCAAGGATGATTCGCGAGGCTATTGAAATCAAAAAACATCCTAATTTCAATAGAGAAGATGGCTGGGTGCTACCATCTGCTTGGGATCCTATAATAAATAAAATTAAATCCCAACCCAAGCATACAACTGCAAGACTCCATGATAACATAAGTTCATACTGTGTAGATCGGAACAAAAGTTAAATTTTAATCTATGGTAACCGCGGTTAACTATGACAGCTGGACGGTGAACATCTCAGTCCTTCCCGTGACCATGGGTGCTGTAAAGCTCTCGAAACGTCGGGTAATTAAAAAGTTAAATATACGCGATAAATTCCGTAAAAACTAGTATTATTTCAATGTGTAGTGTTCGCGTAAATATAAGAAATCATTATAAAAACTGCAGTTGGTTGGCAACTATTAACCAAGCGTAGCAAATATTTACTGTGAGAAGACCTATATTCAGCAGTGAGATTTAACAGACTGCAATCTATATATATAATCAATGAATTAAAATTATTTTATTTTACTTACTGTATCAGCATGGGCTGGCATAGATCCAAAGAAAAGTAAAGAAACCCGCCTTCCAATGCCACCAAGCCAACCACTAGGCGGGCGTAAGGTCCGACAAGTCACAGTTGGCCGACCATCTGCAACCCAATCATAGATTTTTTTTAATCTACAATTAAGTAGTGTTAAAGAAAAAATGTTGTACATATTATAGCTTCCTTACCTATAATTGTCGGTGTAAGCAACACAACAGTACAAGTGGTTGTTGCAAGCACTAAGCCACTTCGCGTCGGTTCGCCGAGCCGCTCACACTCCTGACCGGCAAGCTCAGCCGATACATCAACATACACTCCTTCTTGACCCACGCATGGCCAGTAGCGGACAACGCCCTCTGGTGAGACGCCAATACAAGATGGCAGCTGGATTAAATAGTGGAAATTTAAGTCCATCAAATATCTATAGCATATTTATTTATAACTATAAATTATGGTACACATAAGAAGGATCAACACAACCTGTAGCTTTAATCCCGAATACATAATACAAATTTTCCTGATTTATAAAAAGTGTATGTAACAGTGAACAAACTTGGCATTCATATTGAATAAATCAAAATGCAAAGCTTTGATTAAGACATATACAATTTAAAGAGGCAAAAAGAGACTGCCCACAATAAAACTGTTGCATCTCCGAAGCGCAAGTATGACTGAATAAACCACGAGGACGGCCGGACTTGATTATATGTTTTTATATAATCAAGTCCGGTATAGATATTTTTTCGGCATTTACTTACATTTACTTATTTACTTTCGGCAATCAATGTACAGGTATATTATAGTGTTATTGTTTATACATTACACTGGCTTACCGCCTGGAAAATAATATGGTGTTTTGTGTAAGGGGAATAGAAGCTATCATCGAAAATATTTGTAAAATATAATTAATAGGCAAAATTTCCGAATATCCAAAAAAATACATACAAACAATACATCCTGCGGCTTTTGCGTAAAACTAAAAATAGGTGATATTATTTTAAACATCGGCGTAGGCTACTATCGTTAGCGAACGAATCGTTTCGTAGGCGTCAGGCGGCCGAATGGGAGCGGCCGTATTCAAAAAAGTCTAGCTACAATACTTGTCTCCGTAATGTCTGCAGCTAAGTGTTTTTTGATACGGCGCCATTTACGAATGCAGATCACTGACGTTCAGCCTTGCGGCTGCAACCCTGCGAAAGGACAAGAACCTTCGTTTTGTGCTTTGTTTGGTGCAGCGAGTGCGCTACAAATTCATTGTTTTATTGCCGCTTGTAAAGTGGGGTGTGTATGATTTGAATTTCAATAGATTTTAATTGATTTATTTAGTTCAAAATTTTTGTTTTTAAATTTTTAGTGTGGAAAGTTTCCTTCAAATTAGTATTTAATATATCAGTGTCATAGGCTTCTACTCTGTTCACCTGTTTTTTCCAGACGGTATAAGTCATCCGATGTAAATAAGTATACATGAGTGTTTTGTTGGATATAAGTATATACAGAATGGGTCCCACATATATGCAATAAATGAAACCACAAGTAATACTAGTCCGTAGAAGTGTAGAAAAATTAAATATTAAATTAAAACCCGTAAAATAAAAAAGTGAAATTTTCAAACAAAATAAATATTAAAATAAATTCAGTAAAAGTGAACACTCTGTTTAGACAACGTACCTTGACCCCTTGGAAGAGTGACAACGTTGCACGCCGACAAAAGACACCGCTGTCGATATGTCGCAATACCAATAGTTTGCACTGCGTGGCAACGTCGCTTTTTAATGTTCAAGGATTCAAGTTCATTGAATCATTGACTTAGTGACCCAATTCTATAGAGTGTTCAAATTTGCTTAAAATTAAAACTCTACTTTTTGACCTAATTACTGGACCGATTACGTTCATTTTTTGTATATCGTCAGCAAAGGCGATAACAAGTATACGGTTTCATTTATTGCATATATGTGGGACCCATTCTGTATATTAAGTACCTGAGCATCATCATTTTCATAGAATACTACAGCAAGATCAGCCTTGTGCGCAAGATCTGTTTGCGGTAATGTTAGCTCCCGGGCAGCAGCAGCAAGGGTAGGTTGGTAAGGCCAAGTAAGCAGTCTTCGTCCAGCCACTACCCAGCACCAGCCGCACGAAGACATGCGCGCGCTTACTTCTCCACTCGCTATACAATTTATTTATAATTTATTAAATATAAATATGCTTGTACCATTAACAAAAAAAGAAAAAACATAGAAAGTGATATGTCCACATGCAATCTTAGTGGTACAGAAACTTGTCCAAGTTAATTGATAGTTCTAAAGTGTGGTTAGCAAAGAAGTTCTACATATTTAACATTTATTTATTTGTATGATCAGTCATATTTACTTCTAGTTATTAAATGTTTCATGTTTGTAATTATTTTATATCTTTAATAAATCTCCAATCCTTGATTAAAACTACTTTTACGGATTTTATCGCGTTTTATTTATATTAATTTTAATACCCGACGTTTCGGGTGCTTTCCAGCACCCATGGTCACGGGGGACTGAGGTGACTGACGTCCCGATGTCAAAGTTAACCCAGAGTACCTTCAGCTTTTTAATTATTGTCTGGTCCGATCTACGCAGAATGAACTAACTGTATTTTGAAGTCTTGCAGTGGTATGCTTGGGTTTAGTTTTAATTTTATTAATTATAGGATCCCAAGCAGGTGGTAGTACCCAGCCTCCTTCTCTATTGAAATTAAGATGTTTTTTTTAATTTCAATAGCCTCACGTATCATCCTTGGTAGGAATCGATGTTCTTTCACGAGGATTTGTGGTCTATCAAATCTGATGTAATGGTTGGGGCCATCTAGAATATGATCGCAAACTGCAGACTTCCCGGAACGTTGATGCTTCACGTCAGCTATGTGTTCTTTTACGCGGGTGTGATTGTGGTCTCTCATATATAGGGCAAACAAAGAGATCAATTAGAACCCACGTAAAAGAACACATAGCTGACATGAAACATCAACATTCCGGGAAGTCTGCAGTTTGCGATCATATTCTAGATGGCCCCAACCATTACATCAGATTTGATAGACAATGTATAGTGTTCGCGTAAATATAAGCAATGTATAGTGTTCGCTTAAATATAAGAAATCATTATCTCCAATCCTTATATATTGTGCAGTTAAAACATTCTTTTTTGAGAACATTTAATAAAATAATACCAATCTATTGCTTTATAATTTTTCGTATTTTAAAATTTTACCCTTCTTTCAAGTCATTATTGTTTACACAATATTTTAAATTACAAAAACAATGCTCCTGTGTTGTTTTGCAAAAAAAAAATCCATGCCGTAAGCTATGACACAAGTTTTCTGATGTTACAGCTCACAAGTGACCAGCATGTACTTTAGTTTCAAAAGATTGCACCCCATTATGAACACAAGTGCATATTTAAGAAAGAGAGAAAATTGTCAAGTAAATATTACATGGTATCCCTAATAAGGTTTCCTAAACATTTTATAAGAGAAACTACATCAAACTAATTTTTCTTGATTATATAAATACTTATTTGATTTTATCAAATATTGCATTACATTATTTACCCACTGTTGCTACTTGACTGGCAGCTGACAAGTATCAATAAATTTTTCAAAACCCTAATCTTTTGCTATTTTATTTTTTGTTAATATTATAAAAGTTACGATTACACTTTAGATATTTGTGACTCAATCACACATAAAGCGCTGAACAGATTTGATTCATATTCGGTAAGAGGTAAAGTAAATCATGGAACAGGACCAAAAACCAACTTTCTTGTCCCAATGTTCGGATTCCATGCATATTTACAATAAGTTACTTTAGAATCAATTACTTTTCCTTTCAATGACTTATCCACATTTAAAAAAAAATTGTGGTCATTTAGCACAAGGATCGCTGAGTATGGTTTGTGTGGTGATCTCCAGATCCAGCTCAAGAAAATTAAAAACTGTCTATGATCAAATCAGAGATGCATTGTACACTCCATTATGTTTATACTATTTTTATTTACACTATTGATCTGACTTAAATTGGTAACAAAATAATATGCATATTTAAAAAGATGCATAAAAGTTACAGCCTTTATATGTCCCACAGCTGGGCACAGGGCTCCTCTCATTTATTAAATAGTTTTAGGGCAAGGAAGTGTCCGCCGCGTTGCCCTAATGCGTGTTGTGGAACTTTACATGTCCTACGAAATATTTTTATTTTCTCAGACATGTAGGTTCCCTCACTCCTAAATCAGCACTTAAAATTGACAATTTCATTGGTGCCGGCGGGAATCGAAACCGGATTGCTCGCGTAATGCAGCTGTTAGGTGTATTTTTTTTTTTAATTATGAAAATAATTTTATAGACAATATTGGGGGTTTGCTATAGACGTCCGATACTTAATTTTAATAATATTTTAAGTGTAGGAGGCTTGTTAGGGTTAAGCTTTAATTTATTACACTGTTTTAATATTTCAGAAATTATGCGTTTTGAATTAATTACGATAAAAACAAATTTCACTAAAAATTGCTTATAACAAAATTTGGTCTAGTATTATGAAGTAGGCCTCCAGTACTTGATTTTTTAGTTTTATTTTCAATTTAGCAGGTTTTTCAGGGTTAAGCTTGAACCTTTTCCACTGTTTTTGGATTTCGGAAATGCCTTTTGAATTAAATTCGAAAAAAATTAATTTCAATAAAAATTGTATATAACAAAATGCAAATATGTCAATCTATTTGTGGCTGAAGACGGGACTCATATACAACAAATTGAGTCTCAGTGGAGATTAGTCAAGAAGTTTTTCAGAAAACAAAATTATAACAATCACATTACACCATTTCATTTACCACTATGATAGCAGAGTTTAGGGCAACCTGACTGTTATATATCTATTATGTTTTTACCTTAATTATCGTGGTTTATGGGATCTAACACTGACTTTATAGATAAGATTGGTTGAATCAGTTCTAAAAATGAATCAGCAAGCCCTGACTCCACATAGTCTTGTCTGCCCTACACCTAGTGTTTTGTAAAGCCTTAGGTGTGGAGGGAGAGTAGCCTCACTCACCGTAGTAAATTGCAGACACCTATGTGGTCCATAGCAGCTGAGGCTGGTCACCGAAGGTGACCAATAAGCCAAAGCTGCGGAAGTGAGCATGGGTGCCTGCGATTTGCTATGCAAGGCCAAAGTGACTGAACTTTCTACAGCGCCAAAGCTGTTGCAGAAGTAACTTTGGGTTAATATTCCTGTATAAAAAAGTGAGCTTATGATTTTACAAGAAAAAATCATTACTCAAACTATTCATTTCCACAAGGGGAAGGGTAGGCGTGGCTTCTCCTGCACCCACCCCTCGCACCTCCGTACGCAAGTGATGGGTGTTTATAGTTTTACTGACTGAAATGACCAAAAATAAAATTATAAATTTTATAGAAAACCTTGTAATATTATTGCTAGTGATGTGTCAAAGTGTGTGTGAAAGAGGTAGCATTTTACCATAAGTAATCAAATACCGTGTATTATTCATAAAGTAACAGTAATAAAGAAAAATAAAAAACTATGGTATAGCGCAAAATTTTATGATTCAATAGCCAGAATAAATTTTGTACTTGTTATGAATACATCATACAAAGCACAAAATGTAAAAGCATGTAACTAAAAAAGGAACATTAGTTTTGATATTGAAGCAGATAGTACTAGATTGTGTCATAATCTAGTGGACTATAATTAAGCACTTAAATATTCATGGGTAAGGTTTACAATTCGGTCGCTTGATATTGTGGGTGGGGGGTGGTAGAGGAGTTGTACAGTCACCCCCTACTTCCCCTTCCTGCCGGACATGCTTAGTTTTTTTTATAAATTTTTAAAAATCTCATTTTGAGGTTATGTTTCATAATTTTTATGACAATTTTAACCTGATTTATGGGGGGAGAGAGTTGGAGGACAGAAGTCCCACGCCACTTAACATGGTGCAGTCGAGGGAAACCCGGTCGATGGAGCCCCGCTTCGTGGGGCTCCTACTTCCGAGTAGTTTACAAAAAAAAAATAACCATAAAGGGGATGATGCAGTCTATTCGCTCGCTCACTTGACCCCATCATCCCCTTCTAACCTAACATGTCCGAGTCGGGGTGCCCCACATCATAGGCTCGCTTCGCTCGCTATTGCACCCAATATAACACCAAAACTTTAACTTTTATAACTACTTTAATTTATAAACATACTTTATGGCTGCCACTATTTGTAAGAAAGGATCTTTGCGATATTTAGCAGTATTCCGCCGCCACAAATATTCCACTATTATGACCAAAATTATGATACTCAAAAGCAACGGCATGACGAAAAACTGTCAAAAAATGGCCGGCCTAGCGATTAATTTTACACACTTTTAAATCGATTCAAATCGAAATTGGATGAATCGATTCATAAAAAATCGAAATCTTAAAGATCGATTTCGCAAAAATTTATCTTTTTTTGATTTGCGTTAAAAGTTTATATTTACAATATCAAAAGATACAATAACATACGGATAACATTGAATGATTGAATTCAAAACTGTCATTCTTTACGAGTTGGGGTATATTCAACTAATTGTAAATAATTTTACAAATATTAATAATACAGAAAAAGTTTCGATCTCGATTCTCTAGGGTGAAATATCGATTAACTAGATTGATTCAGTACTATATATCGATATGACATTGACAGATGAAAAGACAAAAACGTATTAATTATTCATTTACCAATATTTTTAAAAAATAATTAAAATACTTCGACACTGCTCCGGCAGCAAAAATCGAGTGGGGGTGCTTCAGATAAACTTTTTGACCCCCCCACCGTGACTGAAAATTTCATAAAGAGCCAAGAAACGACGACGTATATCTAGCATACTAGTATATTATAGCAATAGACTGATGGTGTTCAAAATCATTAAAAAGCTTTTTCTATTCACTTACCAAAAGTAAGCGCTTCTGTCACCATTACTGGCAAAGGTAGACCATAGGTTTGAAATGTTATCGAGGGCGTTTTATAAATAATATCTCCACTCTGCAGCCCACCAGGTGACTGCATATAATTACTGAAAAAAGATAAACAAGTAAACTGGACAATATAATAATAGAAAGCATGCTAATTAAAGTTCACATACAACTTCAATATAAATTTTTAAGATCATGGACTTGAAAACCCAATTTAAAAATAACTATGTAACCAAAATATAAATAATAATGGAGGTTAAGCAACAAAATATTTTACCTTTGAGTTTTTTTTGCAGATGAAAGTCCAATAGGTCTTCTTCCTGTAATAGACTGTCTTACCCTAGGTGAGAAAGGACTTCTCATTCCGCCTGTACTATTAAAATCCATTTTAGGCACTTCTAAACAATAACAAAATAAAATTTGTAAAAAAAACCGCCGGCTTTTTGAGAAAAAAATCCGCAATAAGCATAGATAAATAGATTGTAGCAAATCGTTAGTTTCTCTATCTAGTCTGTGTAGCAAATTCCCTGTATAAAAAGTACTCTGTGGTGTTTTTTTATTTAACTGGCTTTACGGCTCTGAGTTCTAGCCTTTCTGAGCCTATCATTTCTTTCAGAATCTTCATTTTTATATATTTTTTCTTCACAATATGCTGATGCGTCATATTGCGAAGTTTTTGGGAGATGACACACATGATGATAGCTCAACCCAGCGGACAGTTGATGACGACAGCCACTCAAGTTCATAAGGCGCCCAAGCGATCAAAATAACTAAAGATTTCCATCGATGCCAAAGCACTCGTTTCGTCGTTTTCTCTAATAGTTCACACGCGCGAACACTTAATTCACAAATTCGCATCACTTTTACGAATCAAAATCCACTTCAAAAAAATTATTTAAGCGACAAAAAAGAGCGACAATTCGTCTACGGCCAAGTTCCCGCCAAAACCCCTACTCCTAAGCGTCATGGAGGTTAGAGTAGAAGAACAACCTCCATGCTAAGCGTCATGAAGGTTAGAGAACAGGAGAGTAATCACCGTAGAAAATAGTGTCCCAGAAATATAGACACCATAAGTGAGACACTGCGATCACTAAGTTCGGTCAATAAAAGTCATTTTCAGTATATTTTTCCGATCAAATGCAAAACCATTTGCACATCCACGCACAATAAAATATTTCTCTATTTTTTAATATTTCTTTTTGTTAAAAATTACAAAATTACGGAGCACGAAAATTTTCTAATTAAAAATGAAATGAAAATTTGTACATTATTCAACTAACTTCATCTACTTGTACTCTTAAACAGCTAACTTCGTAGTCACTACTCACCGACGTCAGTGCCGCTATATATTCTACAATTTTCAAGGACGGGCGGGCTATGCTTTAGTAGGTAGTGATCGTAATTTTCCTTATTGAGTGTAGAAGTAAGGAGTACCAACTCCCATAGTAGAATAGTTCAAAAACTCTCCACAACAGCGCTGGAGTAGCTACTGGGATGAAATGAACTTAGCAGTTATCGACGGTTTAAGTGTGCTGCTAAACAGCTCAGTAGCTCTAAAATCTAAAATAATTTTATTTAGTAAATATAACCTCGAAAAAATTGTCTATGTTGTTTAAAATCAGATCAGGATTTCAGGTCTCAGATGACCTGAGATCCTGACTGGGATCCCGGCTGGGATTCTGTGACGTACCGCTTTAGGTTCAAATGCAGAAGGCGGTGCTCCTCGATACCGCCAGCATCATCCGCTGGTTTTTTATCCTTTTCCCCTAACCCTCGGCCGTTTGGTCTCCCCTGCAGTGGGCCTCCATCTGGTTGGACTTTTATTTATTTATGTATTGTTTATTTATTTATGTTAGAATATTAAATATATTGTTGCATGAATAAGTCAACTAGCGCCATCTAGTGTCAGGAACGAGAGCGAGGGGAGCATTGAGAAAATGACATCACAAATCGCTCAACTGACAGCGCCTAGTCGAAACTCGAACGCTCGATACCTTCCGCGTGTTTACTTGAACATTCTGGATATTTCTTTGCTAATTTAAATATATAGGCGCTGCAAGATGCGATGGAGGTAGTGTTGATTTGGCGAAACAAGCGAAGCTTCGGAGCGGAATAAAGTGAATAAGTGTGTTTAATTATTAGTGTTTTTAACTTTAATTTGTGTAAAGTAAATTAAAGTGTTAATTTAGGTAATTTTATCGGCAATTTTTATTGTCACGAACCTCAAGCTCGTAACAATTGGTGTCAGAAGTGGGATAAAATCATGCCGATTTTACCTAAGGAGGAAACGGAGGGTGTTCGTACCCGAAGTCAACGCCAGCAGGAGACGGACCAACGAAGATTTGGTGGTGCAACGCCGCAGACGTCGGAGGGCCAGCCACCGGCTGCAGGCCCGTCGGTAGCTCCTACATCTGCAGCACCTGACTTAGGTGCTCTGATGGTGATGCTGCAGGAGCAGGCTCGCCGACAGGAGGAACAGGTCCGTCAGTTGAAAGAGCAGCTGCAGAGCGGACAGGAGGAACAGGCCCGCCGATTGGAAGAGCAGCTTCGGGGCGGACAAGAGGAGCAGGCCCGCCGACAGGAGGAACAGGCCCGTCGGTCGGAACAGCAGATGCTCCTCATTAAGGACCTTCACGCTACATTCGGGAAAGAGATAAGGGAGGTGAAGGATAGGGTTGCTCAGCATGACAACCGCCTGTCGGAAGCTGAAACCCAAATCGCGAAAGCTGAAACCCGAATCGACCAAGTGAACAATCGGGTTGACAACGTAATGGCTGACATGAAGAAATCACTGGACGAACTCAAACTTGGAGATGGAGCTACAGCTCCCGTAGTAACTACAACACCTTCGCTACGTGGGTTCAAGGTGCCACCGTTCGACGGTACCTCTTCCTGGTCGGCCTACAAAATCCAGTTCGAGGCCGTCATGGAGGCGAACGGCTGGAATAAAAGCCAAGCCATGACTGCACTCACCCTAGGCCTGCGCGACCAAGCCTTAACTGTGTTGGAAGCTCTCGGTAAGAAAGTGACCTATGAGCAGCTTCTTGAGGCCTTGGAAGCGAGATATGGCGACGCTCATCTGGAACACGTCTTTCGCGCGCAGCTTAAAGATCGCGTGCAGCGCAGAAACGAAACCCTGCAGCACTGGGCCCGTGAGCTGGCGAAGATGGTTCGAAAAGCATACCAGTCTGTACCTGCGCTCATTGAAGGGAACCTGGTTCAGACATTCATCGACGGCATCCGCGACCTTGAAGTCAGAGCTGCTGTGAGACTCGGGCACCACGACACGCTTAAGAACGCCTTGGCCCATGCACTGGAGGTGGAAGCCGTGCGGCAGGATCATCGTTCCCATCGCATCAGGGAGGTTGCAGCAGCTACAGTTCGCGACCGCAACAGAGGATACAGCCCTAGGTGCTATGGCTGTGGGGAAAAGGGCCATCTTCGATCCAGCTGCCCTAAGCGAACCCTAGAAAGGGAAGGTGTACGATCTCAGGAGGGTAGTGCGGCCAACAGCACCGCCCTGCAGCAGCAGGGAAACGAGTAAAAGCCAGAACTGCGGGGCGGGTGCTGGCTGATGTTAAAAGAGCCCCAAGGATCTCGATCTCACAAACCCATGATGGGAACAGTCTAATCATCAAGGGCGAGGTCAACGGAATGCCGTGTAAACTGACCATAGACACTGGAGCCTCTCGTACGGTTGTTAGTTCCCAACTTATAAGCCAGTTCCTTGGGGACACCGCATACAACCGAGAACGCATTAATTTGGTAACAGCCACCGGTCAGCGTATACCCGTCCGTGGAGAGAAGGAGATGGAGTTGAAGCTAGGCAACGTGATCTACCTGCATAATGTCATCGTGGCTGATATAATGGACGACTGCATCCTAGGCCTAGACTTTATGAGGAATAATTGTTGTGAGATCGACGTTAAGCAAGGTGTTTTGAAATGTGGACAGGAGGAACTTTTTATGGAAGGTGCGTTACCAGGGAACGTGTACAGCATCAAGAAGATTGTTCTTCCGCCGAGATCGGAAACGATTGTTCCGGTTAGTCTTCCACGAAACGCTGGGCAAGCTCACCGTTGTGTACTTGTGGAAAGGGTAAACAATGACCTTCCATGGAAAGTAGCTCGAACCTTGGTCAGGACCACTGACATCTCAGGAGTACGTGTGCTGAACCTTTGCGACCGGGAACAGGTTATAGAAAAAGGTACACTGGTTGGTACTTGTGAGGAAGTGGATTGGTTACGTCAGTGCCAATATATATCGAGTGGGACCCCCCAGCAAGGATTCAGAAACGAGAGTGACCACACTTTTGGAAGACTGTCGCAGTGTTCTGTCCCCGAACGAATTGGTGAAGGCGAAGAAGTTGTTACTCGAGTACGCCGATGTATTCTCATCAAACGATGCTGACATAGGAAAGACTGGTTTAGTTCAACACAAAATAAACACAGGTGAAGAGTTGCCTATCCGTCAGCGGCCAAGACGATTGCCGGTAGCACGTGAAAAGGAAGTGGAAACCATGATTGAGGGAATGGTGAGGGATGGTGTTATTGAACCTTCATCTAGTCCATGGTGTTCACCCGTGGTACTGGTAAAGAAGAAGGATGGCAGCATGCGGTTCTGTGTTGATTACCGCCGTCTGAATGACGTTACAAAGAAGGACAGCTATCCCTTGCCAAGAATTGATGACGCGCTGGACATGCTTACAGGAGTAAAATGGTTTAGCACGCTGGATCTAAAAAGTGGCTACTGGCAAGTTGAAATTGACCCTAAGGACAAGGAGAAAACTGCGTTCTCGACGGGAAAGGGTCTGTGGCAATTCAAAGTAATGCCGTTTGGGTTGTGCAATGCTCCAGCAACGTTTGAAAGGCTGATGGAACTTGTACTTACCGGGCTAATTGGCGATGCCTGTCTGGTCTACTTGGATGACATCATCATCGTGGGCCGTACGTTTGAGGAACACCTTCAAAACCTGGAACGCGTGCTCATGAAGATTAAGAGTGCCAACCTTAAGTTGAGTCCGAAGAAATGTTCACTATTCAAAGGGCAAGTCAACTTTTTGGGGTATGTAGTGTCGGAAGAAGGTATCCGCACGGATCCAGAGAAAATCGCAGCTGTAAAGGATTGGCCGGTTCCAAAAGACAAGACGCAGGTTAGAGCATTTTTGGGTTTGTGCTCCTATTACCGACGTTTTGTGAAGAACTTTGCAGATATAGCCAAACCTCTGCATAAGCTAACCGAGGAGAAGCGACATTTCTGCTGGGATGAAAGTTGTAACATCGCATTCCAGGAGCTCAAGGACCGTCTGTGCAAAACACCTATTTTGGGATACCCTGATGCAAGCAAAGAATTTATAGTTGACACAGACGCAAGTGATATAGGACTTG